GGTTGAGATTTGATCCTGCCAACAATGACAGACAAGGGGATTTGATTTGTTAGGTGAACTCGGCAACCCAAGTCTCTAGACAAAAGTGACCGATACACTGTCAGGACTGGGACTCTGCCTTAGGTCCAGGGCTTTGTCCACCCTGGAGCTAAATCAGAGACTGAAAATAATAGAATGGAGTCTTGCTCCTGGACAGAAGTCTTGGCAAGAGCAAAGCTGACTGTCAAGGTCATTGCTAAAAGTTATTCCAGGCAAAACATTAAGCCTAGTGCTGAAAAGGTGAACTGAAAACACAAAAGAAGCCAGTCCTATGAGCTAGCAGTAAGACAAAGAGCTCAGGGTTAGGGTCCCAAGGAATTACTGAAGCCCACAAAGGTTAGAGCAAGCAGATGGAACTGAGACTAGATCCTTCTGTCGTGTGAACTGGGTAAGAACAAGTAAAGTTGTCTAGGTCCTTGAGGCATTTGTAGAACATAAGAGAACAGCAGGGCTCAGAGCCCTCCATGAATCTTGGCTTCTTCTTGTCTAATTGTATGGCTGATTTACTACAAATTTTCATATTTTGGGTGGCTTCAGGATGAGCTGGCACATTTGTGGAGAAGACAACAGCTTAGCATGTACTGTAGGCTGTCATCATGATCCGTGGATGCTGTATCTGTGTCAGTATGGAAGACTGAAGCTGAAGTCTCTGTTGGGAAGGGCTAAGAAGGTGCCTGCCTGCCAGCATCCTCCAGCCTCAGGAGGGTAGGGACAGGAAGCTCTAACAGGTGGAAGAATTTAAATTGCCAAACTGCAGGAGAGAGTCAGCCAGAAGAGTGTGCACACTGCCAAATATCCTGAGCGAAAGGCACACAGTGCCTGGAGGCTGAGCTAGCAGTCACCCCACAATGGCATTTCATACTCTCTCTTTGGGAATAAGTACTGAGGAGCCATAGTTTCTAACTGTATGCCACTGCATAGTGCTTCTAAGTTTGTTCAAAAGATACTTTGGGGCTAGAAAAATAGCTCAATTGGTAAAGTACTTGCCTTACAAGTAAGAGGACTTGGAGTTGATCCCTGCAACTCACTGTTTTTGTTTGTTTAATCTTGGTTGTTGGTTTGTTTGTTAAAGCCACACATGGTGGCATGCACCTGGGATCTCAGCCAGTGCTGGGGAGCTATAGATAACTGAATATCTGGGGTTTGTTGGCCATTCAACATAGTCTACCTGGTGAGTCCCAGGCCAATGAGAGACCCTTTATCAAAAACCAAGGCAGGGAGCACCAGAGAAATGAGGCTATTCTCTGACTTCTGCAAACATGTGCAAAAACTTTCATTGACACTACAAACACATGCACATACACATATATGAATGTATATGCACAAAACAAACAGAAATATGCTTCTGCATGGATTCCATCCTTGTGGCAGTCTTGAGTAGTGGATGAGCAAGCATGACCATCTCCATACACCAGGCAGAGATTAAAAACTTGGGGAAGGCTTGCAGTCTTCATGTTGGACTTAATGTGCCTTCTTATTTCCAACAGCTTCCAATGCCAATGAATGTCTCTATGGATCAGGAATGCAGCAGTGCAAAGCACTCTAAAAAACAGTAAGCTAAGTCCCTAAAATTTACAGCTTTTGCCCTTGCAGGCTGGCTGCAAGGAGCACACAGAGGATCCTCACTGAATGATCTGGCCTCAGGAGTCAGCTTTGTGCTTGATCCAAGGCCCAGGCAGCTTCCTTAACTGAAAGCAGAGTCTATGAGACACCCAAATCTAACCTCCACTTCGGCATTTACCTACTGTTAACCTTACTAGATGATCTTGTGATGAGGCCAAGACTTGTCTTTGAATTTGAAAGTCCAAGCCAATGGGATAAGAACCAGAACAGAACTTCCACGAGACTCAAAGAACCCTCGAGACAAAAAAAATGTCTGGTGTTGCATTTCATAAATACCACATTTTGTGAAACCATGTATACACTGCTCTTAACAACTAAGCACCAGGCATATTTGTGTATGCTGATTCATTTAAAATATAAAAATAGTAAAGGGGTTTGGTTAATTATTTTGTTGGAACCATATATGCCTTTTAAAATATTTTTCTGTAAGGAAGATATATTTTCAATTCGCAAGCATACTGTGTGAAAGAAAATATTTCCAATTAGTCATTCTTCAAAACCATGCTGAGAATGCAATGCTATTAGTCACAACATAACATGATATAAAATTAGGTTTCATATATGAAGGGGAGCTGGGTCCCCACCTCTGTAGAATTCTTCATTCATCTTTGGTGTAAAGGGCCACCACAGCTGCTCTGCATGTAAACGTCCCCACACTGCAAACCTGACCTAGCCTCTTCATCGTTACAGTGACGATGTCCAGGCCATTTAGGTGTAAGCAACTGAATCTGCCAAGGCTAGAAGCATTATTAGGCAAGAACACTATGTTGGCTCAAGAAATGAGATGGTATTTTAGGTTCAAAAAAGAAGAACAGAAAAGAAAACCTAAAAAAATACTTCAGAAAGCTCTGAATCATAACCTTTAAGTTTCGATTCAGTTTATTAATATGGATTCAAGAATCCTAGCTATGCCCATTGCCCCTCCTCACAACTCATGTTCAACAGGTTGCCTGCTATTAAGGAATAAAACATGACTAAAGGGAGCTTGTATTTTCATATATTCTAGCTTTAAAATAACAATTTTTCTTTTCTGTAAGAGATAAGCCATTTATTTTTATTAGGAAAGATGAAAAGGGTGCATTTTTTAAAGAGCATTGCTTATCCTTGCTTCAGCAAACTCCAGAAACAGATGCATTTGAAGCAAAATTTGTCTATCCCTCTCTCAGGAAGAAAAACACAGTGTAGTAAATTCTTTCAGATTTTCCAAATTTAAGAGTCACTTATATAAGTTTTAGTGTCAATTTAAGACAAAACTGTTCTTATCTTAATATGCAGACTTTGTCTAAATCCCACTCAATTCCACGTAGTCTAGTCTTCTAAATTATACTTTTACCTAGCAATAATTTTCTATGACCAAAGATATATGCTCAAAGTTTTTTTTTAATAAAAGGTCTGCCTTTCTTATTAAACTATCAAGTCCATTTAAATCCTTATCCACTATTGTCTTTAAAAGTCTTACATCACTCTTGCTTTCATGTTTAATTAAACCTCAAAGCACTCCTGTATGTCTAGGGAATAGACATATCAGATCTGAAGCCATCATTTTTAACTTAGAGATCTATGTTAAAGTTATGTGTTCTGTGGAAACCACTTCAGAAATGACATGCCTCCTAGCTTCACAGTAGCTAACTGCATGTTACTGCTAATCGAGACAAACCACTTAAACATAATCTAAATACAGACTTATCCAGTGGTAGATGTGTGATTTGAACTACACTGTGTGGCCTCTGAGAACACACATGGAAAGGGTGAGCATGACCCCTGCATATGTGTACTCTCCATATGTGTACACCTGGCACAACAGGGAGCTGTAGGGGCACAGCAGTTGAAACAGAAAGACTTTTTCTTTTCAGTCATCTGCTGCCACCCTGCATCCATGTATGTATTTACTCCAGGCTCTCCTTTTTCCTTTTTGGAAGTATATCTTCCTGTAAGATCTCTCCAGAAAATCCACTAGCATTGTTTTAAACACAGGAAACAGTGCTAAACAGTTTCTGCAGAATGGAAGCTTTCCTAATATGAAACCTCTGGACTCCATAATTATTAAGCAGGTTTTAAATACATGTTCTGTTTTCAAATAGTAATACAGAAGGGGGGGCAAAGTGCTCTCTCTCTCTCTCTCTCTCTCTCTCTCTCTCTCTTGTGTGTGTGTGTGTGTGTGTGTGTGTGTGTGTGTGTGTGTGTGTATGTGTATGTGTGTGTATGTGCACATGTGCCTTGGGGAATGGTACATTTTCTATTTTGTTGAATCTCAGAGGCCAAGAGAGAAAGGGAAGATCTGCTAAAAGCTCACAGTGAAATGGTCAGTCTCCCTAACAGCAGAGTCTGCCACCCTTTCAAAACCCTGCCAACAATATCAATGGGGCCAGGCGGGAGGGGTGGGATATATGCTTACAGACTTCGGACGGGTTCAGAAAACACTTATACTCCAATCAAGGTCTGCGTTTTTAAAATACATCCATATGGATGAGATTCCCCAAAGCTCCATTCCTCTCCTACTTCCACTCTGCTTGCAAGGGGAGTCTCACATAATCACCAGCAGGCAGGGTAGGGTCACAATTCCAACACGCATAGCGTGGAGTGGACAAGTGAATTTTACCCCATTGAGTCAACCATTCCCCTAACCCTAGTGGTTTAAAACCCCATAGAAATGAGCAAGCTGCGCACTGAAAGGAGGTTGTGCAGGGAGCAAGAGGGCTCAAGATCGTGTGTAGTTTAGTAGCCCTGGCTGAACCAGAGTAGACGTTCACCCTGGCTCAGTACCCTCTCCCGGGTCACCAGGAGTGCAAAAATCACCTCTTCGCTCCAAAAACGCAACCCAGCGGTCCCCCCACGCTGCAAGGTTGGCAGGGGTCTGATTTAGCTTTCCTTAAAAAAAAAAAAATGGCTTTAAAAGGCACACGCAGGACCCAGCACAGAGACACGCATTCACACAGCCCTGGACCACCCTTGCTTCCCTTTGGATCCCTCATGTGAGGGAGAGAAAAGGAGCCCAAGGAAGCTGGGTGGGCCCACCGGGGCGCTCCCTCAGTCACCAAACGACCGCTTGTCCCCGTCCTTTCTCAGGCGCTCTGGTGCCACCTCCGCATTCTCCACCCAGGTCCCCGCGCTCCAACTCCTCATCAGATCGATCCCGGGTTCCAGTCCCCTCAGATTGACAAAATCACCTCTCTTCGTCCCTCCCCAGTCCTTCCTTTAAACTCTGCCAGCAAACACATTTCCTACGGTCACGGAAAACTTTTTCCCCCTTCTTTCACCAACAGATGAGGCAAGAAACCGGGTCAGCGGTCGCTGCCAGCAGCTCTGCCTTGAGCGGTGGCGAGCACCGGTGTTCTTACCTGGCAGTCGCGTTCCAGGTGGCTGTCCCACGCGGGTCCTCCGCGCCTCCCCGAGTCTCTCGGACCGTCCGGTCCGCCCCACCGAACCTCTGCGTCTCGCGGCACGGCTTTCCGAGACAGCGACTGTCCTCAGCGTTGCTCGTGAACC